GCGTGTATATTCTGCAATCTTTCAGATCCTGCAATGCTGCCTCGTTGTGGTGGGAATTGTCCCTGGGAGGGGTGAGTGAAGACATCAGGAGAGTATGCCAAGTGTGTCTACTCCCAGCAGGGTCACCCGAGGTGTGAAGGTCATCCCAGCTGCCCAGATAAAGCAAGCAGGCACCTATGTTGGGCACCAGCTATATAGGAAGATATCAGATGCGGGTGATCGTTTTAATGGCAAAGGAATCCTTTCATACTGCAGGAGAGAAGACAGTGGTAGACCACTCCTGTATTTTACCAAGAGAACCATATGGATAGGCAATATAATGTATCTACTGTATTTGGTTGCTGAAAGTCAACATTGATTTGATGACCATCATCATCATGTTGTGGGTACTCTAACAAAATGGCTGCCGCATGGAAAGTTTGCCCATTCACCAAGGGACTGCCATGATAGGTGTAATCCAGTATAAAATACTCTTTTGTTAGAAGGCAAACTGCTAATAGCTGGGTCCCCACAATCTTCTCTAGTCTTTCCCTACTGCATCCCAGCTCATCTTTGTCTTTTTATAATCCAGCATGTGATAAAAAAGAATTAAGAGTGTCTTTATCAGTCGGATCCTGTCCATCCGAGGCATTCAGGTAACAGCTGTAGGATTAATCCATTTTATCACCCTGAGAAATCTGTGAGGGAGGCTCAGTAGACACAGGGAGGAAGAGAAGAATTGTTTAAGGTCACTTTGTGGCTGTGGCTGAATGAGATTTTGAACCAGGATTTCCTTCCAATCTAAAAAATAAATTCAGCAATAAAGTTCTTTAGGGATGGGAAATGTCCCCTGGCCCAAGAAGAAAACAGATGCAAGTATTTGTGTTCCTACATATATTTGTGCTCTCTTATTAGAACTATGATCCTGGCTGTGTGAGCATTGGAGACACATCCCTGAATCGGGACAGCAATGCCAATGAAAAGGATAAGAAGACCAGCAGTTCTGCTCCAGAAGGGTCACGTAAGGAAGTAATATTGTGTGGGGAAAGCAGGATATAAGACTGTTCCAGGCTTGAACACGTGACTCAGCAAAACCTCTCTATTGTTTCTTGCTGAAGTTATGGATCTCTCTAGACCAGTATTTTTCAAACTTGGCATGCTGGCTGGGGAATTCTGGGAGTTGAGGTCCACACATCTTAAAGTTGCCAAGTTTGAAAAACACCAGTCTAGACTGTTTCACACACGTTTTAGAACCTTGAGGCTATATTAAACTTGATTGGGGAGGACAAAGGTCCCAGTAGATGCCACGATAACAAAAAACTGAAAGTCATACACATAACAATATGGGGGCAGAATGGTGGTTTCCCTCCATTTCTGCTTGTTTCCTATGTTAGGGTAAACCCTACAGCTTTTGTGTGTGCTTTAACCTCGGAATGGCAGGAAACCATGCTATTAACTTCTGGCAGTTGTGGTTGCTAGAAGATGCTTCAGCAATCTCATACAGCCTTGGGCCTTACATCCATTTACTCCTGCTTTAACTAGATTGCAGGAATTGAAATGGAGCCTTTGTAAGCTCTGCGTCAGTCTCATTTTTGCCTGTTGTTTTCTTTGCTTTCAGTCATTCCTTACCACATTGTCCTCACTACTGGGAAAGAATTTGACTCAAGCACCAACAGTCGAGTTTTCATCATTATCGAAGGTCCTCAGAAACACTCTACGGGCCATATGTGGCTGGATCTCTCAGAAGGAAAGACCCAATTTGCAGATGGTTCTGTGGAGAAATTCTCTGTGATGGGAATAGACGTTGGCGAGGTCAAAAGTGTGGAGGTACGCCATATGACTGAAAAGTGAGATCTGAAAGAATGGTCAACAAGACCCTTAAGCCCAACTTTGCCTAAAAAGAGGCAGAGAAATTTCACTACAAAATTATCTATCCTGAACTGCAGTAACTCTTAGGAGGGCAGAAAGAGAATCCAAAAAAAGCCAGTTTATGCTATACTCTTATTTCTTACAAGCACCTTAACTTTGTTGTAAACAACTGCATAGTTGCCTTGCTGAAAATTATTTTGCTGTGTGGTGTTTTTTTGCATGACATAGCCCTTTGCGTGGCTCCTTCCATCATTCTTTTTCAATTCTTTGTTTTGTTCTTTCAAAAAAGGAACCTTTGACAAAATCTTGTCCTTATCAGAGAATGGATTTCATAAGTGGCCCACAGTGAGAAAGACTTCATGTATAATTTTCTTGCTCAACATAGAAATTGTTTTCACAGCTTCTCTTGAGAGACCTCTTACAGGAGGGCATTAATCATGGCTCATAAGCAATGTGCACTGATCAGAAATCATAGAGCAGAAATCTCTATGTAACAAATGGTTGGAGGGACATCATTTACACGCAGTATCACTTGGCTCATCTTTAATCACATATTCTTCTTTTTCTCAAGATTGTTTGTTGCAATGGTCCATAAATGGAGCCCCCACTCAACCCTGGATGTAGTGCTCCGAATCCATCAACAATTTACCATGCAATAATCATGTTTAACATGAAAGAATGGAGCATTTATTAAATACGTGGGGATTAATCCGATTACCTGCATTAAATTAATGTAAATTTAATAATAATTTAATTCAAATCAAGTCTAGTTTCTGTCCTGCCTAATTTTTATAGCATGCTTCCCTGTACAGAAGGACCATGTGCACCTTTGGACCAGAGAAATGTGTGTGCTTGAATTACAGTCAGCAAAGCTGCTCTTGCATGAAAGGCACCACTTACATATCTGCTTCTCCCACCATTTATCCTTCTAAAAAATTGACAGCAATGTAGAAGACAGAATTTTTAGGACCAGGAGCACAGGTAGGCATAAAAGATTAAAACCTGTGACCTCCATTTCAAACTCTAGTGCCAATCTGGATGGGGGTGGGCATGAATGTAATTTATGCTCTGAAAGCCACTAAAAAGAAGTTGTTGGTTTTCACGTGGATGCTGCCTCATTGTCTTTAGGCTTAGGAGAAACAGTGAACCTGGAAGTGTCCTGGCAACACATTTAGGAAATGCCAAGTTTGGAAGCCAACACACCGTCAAATCAAATTCTCAATAGGAGCAATGATTCTACTATTCCCTCTGTGCGTAGCTCTGTTATTGATCCTCCCCCACCCAGCATTTCTGTAATTTCTCCACACATGTTTTTTTTTTTAAAAAAGAATTGTTGTCATTGTCTCAACAGAGCAGAAGAGACTTTGGGTCTTAACAAACTTAGTGATCTGACTCTGCTCCCTTGTCCTTAGTAGAGCACTCACTTCATTATGGAAAGGAGAACAATCAAGTAAAAGGATGACGGGGCACATGAAAAGAGGGAATAGAGGAAGAAGTGGGCATGGGCAGAGAAACTAGGATCCAGTTAAGAAATCACAGGAAATTCTTCCCATCCCAGTTTATTTAATTGTGCCCTATACTGACAAATCAAGTGCCCCAAATCCAGGTTATGATTATAACAGATCAGGTTGTTTGTTTGTTCCTCCAACCCAAGGTTGGTCTTACCATTAAGCAAAATGAAGCAAGAAGCCCCTTTGGTCATTAGATTTGGAGAGGTCACAACTGAAGCTAAACTCACTCCATCCTCCTCCAGCTGCCTTCCTGTTCCATGTGTCTTGAGGTTCTCTGGAGTGGTGCATGAGCATTGCTCTTAGGGAGTCCTCAGGGATGGGCAAGTAGGTAAGTATATATTAACCCAGTGTTTCTCAACCTTGGCAACTTTAAGATGTGTGGACTTCAACTCCTAGAGTTCCGCAGCCAGCCATGCTGGCTGGAGAATTCTGGGAGTTGAAGTCCACACATCTTAAAGTTGCCAAGGTTGAGAAACACTGGGTTAATATATACTTACCTACTTGCCCATCCCTGAGGACTCCCTAAGAGCAATGCTCATGCACCACTCCAGAGAACCTCAAGACACATGGAA